GAGTGGGGAGGTGGGAGAGGGATGAACCACAGAACTTATACGCATGTATGCATGAACAGTGGACATGGACAACAATCTGGGGAAGGGGCAGGGAGGGAAGGGGGAGGGGGAATCAGTGGGGGAAAAAAGGAGAATCATCTGTAACAAAAATTAATCAATAAAAAAATAAATAAATAAATAAAATGCATCACTGTGCCCTGGCCGGTTTGGCTCAGTGGTTAGAGCGTCGGCCGGCAGTCCAGAGAGACCCGGGTTCGGTTCCCGCTAAGGGCACGTACCTTGGTTGCGGTTTGTCCCCGGCCCTGGTTGGGGTTGTGCAGGAGATTGCCACTCGATGTGTCCCTTTCACGTTGATGTTTCTCTCTCTGTCTCCCTCTTTCCCACTCTATCTGAACAAAAATGGAAAAATGTCCTCGGGTGAGGGAAAAAAAATGCATCGCTGTGTTCTTAGAAGTCATTTTCCCCCCAGCATGGTTTTAGAATATGTATTCAACCTACCCGTCTCCAAGAAGATTAAAGATTAGACTGAATGAGTAGTAATAATGGTGGAATCTGAGATTTCCATCCACCTTTGAGATGAAGAAAAGAGATTCTTTTTTCACCTGAGGACATTTTTCTATTTTTCATTCAGGTAGAGTGGGAGGGGGAGAGAGGAAGAGAGAGAGAAACATCGATGTGAAAGGGACACATCGAGTGGCTGCCACCCACACGCCCAACCAGGGCTGGGGACAAACTGCATCCAAGGTACGTGCCCTTAGTGGGAACCGAACCCGGGTCTCTCGGGACCGCAGGCCGACGCTCCAACCACTGAGCCAAACCGGCCAGGGCAGAAAAGAGATTCTTTACAACTTTGTCACTCTGCTGTCCATTCCTTTCACTAATATTCTGAAGGGTTTGCTGTGAGCACCATGAAATCTTCAGGTCACTCCGCCTTTCGCTGAAAAATTACAGTGTTAGAGTGTTTGCTATTGGGTTCTTAATAATTTTTATTTAAAAAATATATACAGTTGGTTAAGCTTTTTTTTATTGTCAATGTTTGTATGAAGACCTCAATGCTTGGGTTTATAAGCTTTTCCCTTTCTTTTTAAAAAATGTTTTTATTAATTTATTTTGGTTACAGATGCCCCCCCCCCCCCGCCCCCTGCCCGGGGCACCCTCCTCCCTGCTTTTCCCTCTCTTAAAAATTTTTTTAAAAATTTAAAAAAATGTTTTTATTGATTTTAGAGAGAGGAAAGGAGAGGGGGAGAGAGAGAGACATCGATGTGAAAGAAACATTGATAAGTTTCCTCCCGTACATACCCCAATGGGGGACTGAACCCACAACCTGGGCAGTGCCCTGACCAGGAATTGAACCAGCCACCTTTTGGTGCAGGGGATGATGCTCAACCAACAGAGCCACACTGGCCAGGGTGTAAGTGTTTCTCTTTCTATGTAATAATACTTCATGTAGAAAAGTATAATAATACTTTATATTCATGTAGCACCCACCGAAAAATTTCCCAGTGTTTTCACCAGTATTTTATAATTTGATTCTCCTAGCCCGGCTGGTGTGGCTCAGTGGATTGAGTGTCCTCCCATGGACTGAGAGGTCTTGGTTTGATTCCTGGCCAGGGCACATGCCCGGGTTGTGGGCTCAATCCCCAGTAGGGGGCGTGCAGGAGGTAGCCGGTTGATGTTTCTCTCTCACATCGATGTTTCTATCTCTCTCCCTTCTGCTCTCTCTAAAAAAAAAAAAATCAATGAAAACATATTTAAAAAATATAATTAGATTCTCCTAATAAATAGCTGAGATAGGTTACACAGGCATTATTCCAATTTTTTAGCTCAGTGAATAAGTTCATAATTTCGGAAGTGGGTGGCAGAATTTTCCCCTAGTCTTGTGACCATAATTTCAGTGCCCTTTACAGGAAAAGGGACACATTGCTCAAAGCTTATATGTTAACAGTCAGACAACAGCAAACACATAGGGAAAATAAGCCCCAGTTTTTTTTCCAGAATGATTTGTCATCATTCATCATTGATTAATAATATTTTGAGTGCTTGGAGGTATATGACGCTGTAGATTTTATAGCTTATGTTCAGAAACATTTTTTTTTAAAATCACAGGTTTGTAGCAAATTGACAAATGTCTTTTCTTATCTTTTGCTGTTGTTTAATCTGTATAAAGGGCCACTGTTTCAGTCACAGGTGCCTGTCTTCTGTTAGTATGGAACACTGAGCTGTTGGAAATATTTCATTTCCCTTCTGGTATATTTAAGGACTTCTGCCTCTCCAGTGGAAAAACAGAGCTGTCCATACCCTGTGAGGAGTGTGGCTCACATGTGCCTTGATGACTAGGCGCCTTCTGGCCCAGTGGGCGGGAGACCTTGCCAGCCATTGGCGGCATTCTGCCTTGCTTGGAGCACAGGCTCTGCCCACCTCTGCATTAGACATAGTGCTCGGGGCCCACAGTGGTTTTGGGGGCCCATGAAAATGTTTTCATTTTTTTAAATCAGAAAAATAAAATGAACTTTTAGGTCAAAGAAAAGGTTTTAATGTATTACACTAAAATATTCATCTTTGTGCCAATGAAGTCATAAAATATGATTTTGAATTTTTTTGAGAAGGGCCCATGAAGGCAGAAGTAGCCAGAGCCCTAGGAAGTCAGAATGCAGTCCTGAGTGTGTGGGTATGTGGAGGGATGAATGAGGTCCATTCTGGACTCTTGTCTTCTCTCCTATTCCTAACCTATTTGTCCTCCTGTTCATTGATTTACTGATGATTGATTCATTCCTTCTAAGACTGTGGATGTGTGAAAAGTACTCCAGGAAACAATTCTACATACACACACAGACAGGAGACGAGGTGAAATGTGGACAGACCGACAGCCGGCTGCCTGGGTTTCATTTCAGTTTCCATCTCTGGGCAGGATGTTCTTTGTCCCTGACCCGATCACACTATATGGAATGAGGGGCTATTATAAATACTTTGTTTTAACAATTGTTTTTGTAGTGCCTCTGACCCTCCCTCCCTCCCTCCCTCCCTCCCTCCCTCCCTCCCTCCCTCCCCTCCCCTCCCCTCCCTCCCTCCTCCTTCCTCCTTCCTTCCTTCCTTCCTCCTTCCTTCCTTCCTTCCTTCCTTCCTTCCTTCCTTCCTTCCTTCCTTCCTCCCTTCCTCCCTTCCTCCCTTCCTTCCTTCCTCCCCCACCTCTCTTTCTGTTACAGATGTTTCTCCTTTTTCCCCCATTGACACCTTTCTCCCCCTCCCTCCCTGCCCTGTCCCCAGCTTTGTTGTCCGTGTCCATTGGTTATGCGTACATGCATATAAGTTCTGTGGTTTATCCCCCACCCTCTTCTGGGGATTGTCAGTCTGTACCCCACTTCCACGTCTCTGGGACTGCCCTGTTCTTCAGACTGTTATGTTCATTATACTCCACAAATAAGTGAGATCATATGATACTTGTCTTTCTCTGCTTGGCTTGTTTCGCTTTCCAGGTCCCTCCATGTCGTCTCAAAGGATAAGAGATCTTTCTTTCTTACAGCTGCGTAGTACTATGGTGTTACCTCAAAAAATTAACAATTAAATTGCCATTTGACCCAGTGAACCCACTTCTACGAATATACCCTAAGAAGCCTGAAATACCAATCAGAAAGAATATATGTACCCCCATGTTCATAGCCTCTATTTAGAATGTGCTTTTGAGAAACAATAGCCAAAACATTTAGAGCATGACTCTATTGTTACCTTGTTTTTATTGCCTCTCTGTCTCCCAAATGACATTAAAGTCTATAATGAAAAGATTTTTAAGTAAGACTTTTTGGAACATTAACTCATAATCTCTACCTACCGAGGGCCAGCGGCGGGCAGAGGGCTCTAAAGCGAGAACAGAGTGCGTGTTCTAGGGAAACGTGACCGGTGGCAGAGGTTATTTTCAGGGAGTATGGAGTATTTTCCTCCTTTTTAAAATCCTCTGTTCTGAAAATTCTCATTTGAGTATCTGCATAATAGAATGGAGGTGCTCCGTCCAGAAAACCTAAGTCGTCCCTCCGCTTCTGTTCCAGCATGTTTGCAGCCGGCCTCTCAGATTGCCAAGCAGGGCAGTAAGACGTGGCTAAAATTTCAGCCTTGAAGTCCTGCTTTTTAAAAAAAATTTTTTTTCTTCATTGATTTTAGAAAGAGAGGAAGGGAGAGAGGGAGAAATGGAAACATCGGTGACAGAGAACATCGATGCGAGAGAACATTGATTAGCTGCCTCCTGCATGCCCCCCACTGGGGATGGGCCCACAGCCTGGGCCTGTGCCCTGACCTGGAATTAAACCAGCGACCTCTTGGTACATAGGTTGATGCTCAGCCACTGAGCCACACAGCTGGGCTGTTATCATATTTTTAAACTAAGCTTATCCTCTTGAATTTGGGGTGCGTACACAAAGTGATGTTCAACTCATTGCTTGCTTTTCACGTGACCTTTGCTACTCTCTTTGTGTTCTAGGAAGTGATGTATCAGGCAGGGCCTATAGTTTTAGTTTAGAGAGATGAAGAAAGCAAGAAATGGCCACTTTAAAAACTTGAGAAAAATGGGCACCTATTTTTCATGATTAAAAATTAAAAATCTGTTTTAAAGTCTCTGTTCTTACTGTCTTCACAATAACCTGTGAAACACTCCAGAATGGCAACCAGCTTGGTTGTGTGTTTTTTAAAAATTCCGTTGTGCGCCCTGGCCGGTTTGGCTCAGCGGTTGGAGCCTCGGTCTGCAGACCAGAGTGTCCCGGGTTTGGTTCCCACTGGGTCCTAGCAGCAAGGGGCACGTACTAAAAAAAACAAAATTCCGTTTTGTGGCAAAAGTGTTCTTTTTTTTGGACTTTCTATGGTGCCTGATTCCTTAACTTCTCATTTTTTAAAGGATCGTAACCACATTGGTTAACGCTCATTTCCGCCTTGTTCTAGCACAGTCATTTCTCGCATCTCTTTCCAGCCCTACTTGCCGTCCTGAAACACATTCTCTGTTTATGATGCCCTTACAGGAATTCGTAAGTGTCTGGGTTCGAGATCCTAGGATTCAGAAGGAGGACTTCTGGCATTCTTATATCGACTATGAGATATGTATTCATGTAAGTATGCATTCAATAGTAATTTTTGGTAGCATATGTTTTTATGGGACACTATGAGATACTTACAATGGAAATTTGTAAAGTTTTTCTAATTCAAAGAACTAAATTTTAATGATTATAACTAATGCTTGTATCTTACAATGCTTGTATCTTTTTTTTTTTTTTTTTTGTTCAAATAGAGTGGGAGGGAGAGAGAGGAAGAGAGAGAAGCATCGCTGTGAAAGGGACACATCCAGCGGCTGCCACCCGCACGACCCAACCAGGTCCTGGGACAAACTGCAGCCAAGGCACATGCCCTTAGCGGGAACCGAACCCCGGTCTCTGTGTACCGCAGGCCGATGCTCTAACCGCTGAGCCAAACCAGCCAGGGCTCTTTTTTTCTTTCTTCATTGATGTGAGAGATTCACATCGAGTGGTTGCCACCCACACGACCCCAACTGGGGCCGGGGACAAACCGCAGTCCCTTACCAGGAACCGAACCCAGGACTCCCTGGTCCGTGGGTCGATGCTCTACCCACTGAGCCAAACCAGCCAGGGCTCAATGCTTGTATCTTACAGGAAGTAATAAGATGGTCCTAAAGTTGAAAAATTTCTTATTTGAATTTCTATTTGTACCTTTGTTAATATGAATATTTTAATGTTTATTGCCTTCATGCAGATGTGAATACATCTACAATCCACAGTTAGAGAATATTTATACCTCATTAATGGTATTTATGATCTGCTATAGCATATTTCTGGGTAATAAATATAATGCTTAATAAATCTTTGGTTTTGAGAGGACGTAGAGTTCTCTGGAGAAGAGATGTGTAGAGTGTAGATATGGAGAGTAAGAAAGTAGGTACTGAATATACGCAATTATTTTGCCTTAGTCTAGGGTCTGAATAATCAACACATTTACTTAACTGGAAATTATGTTCTTTATTTGGAAATAATGTTCTGTCATAATCTCTCTCTCTCTTTTTGTTTTGTTAATCTTCATCTGAGGATATTTTTCCATTGATTTTTAGAGAGTAGAAGAGAGGGAGGGAGGGGAGATAGAGAGAGAGAAAGAGATTAACATCGATGTGAAAGAGACACATCAATTGATTGCCTTCCACATGTGCCCTGACCAGGGCTGGGGATCGAACCTGCAACCCAGGTACATGCCCTTGACCAGGAGTCCAACCCACGACCCTTCAGTGTTCAGGCCAACTCTCCAACCACTGAACCACACAGGCTAGGGCTATACTTTGTATTTTGATTTTGTTTTGGTTTTGCTCATAAAGTTACACTAGATATAAATTCTGTGTGGGAAAGTACAACACAAGTCTATAAGATTAAGCCTTTGAAAATGAAATAATTCTTTAGTTGCCTTTTAACTTCCTCAAAAGATTTGTGGGTCCTTATCACATACTTTATGGTTGGTGTGAAATTTGACTGTCCTCAAGGAGTTAATGATAGCATAGATTTTTCTCTGCTGCATAGTAGCATGGTATGAATTCAGAAATGTCCACCTCGAGCCAGAAATGATGGGTTCCACAATATTATTCGGTGGTGTCCTGGTGTTTCTCTGAAATGCTAATAGATTGATGATGAATAAATCTTGGCTTGGCAGATACCATACACAAGCAAATAGATTTAGAGGAACTTAATAAACTAGTGATCTCAGTGTAGTCTGATCCTGTTGTGCAATTAATCAGTGGGAGGATTGGAGAGCCCCTTAGATGCTGTACCCACAGAGACTTGCAGGTAGAGAAGCTATCTAACCCATGTAAATTAATCTCAAGGGAAATGATACTAGGCGACTCTGAAATCTTAGCATTTACTTGGAATTTTAAACAAGTGGACTAGAGAGGTGGGTAGTCTATCATAACTTGTTCTGCAAATGAAGGACTTAGAGGTAGATAGATCTTTGTCTGGTGTAGGTGCCAGCCGATCCCCAGTTACTGGCATCCACAGTGAATGTGGACAGAGAAAGGAAAGGGAGTTGAAATTGGCCCAGTGTTCCTGAGGTGTGGGAGGCCCCACAGTGACCTGGTGCTCTCTGGGGAGGGCGTGCAGAGGGAACTGCCCAGGCCTCCGTAGGGCACCGACTCTGGTGCAAACGGCCTGCTTTCCTACTCCCCAAGGATCACCTTAGAGAGAGGCCCTGGTGTGCTGTGAAATCCACACACACAATGTTATTGTGCCACAAACTATCCAGCAGTCTGGCTGCCCTGTTGTCAAAGATGATGGGATTTAGACCCATCACTACGTTGGGGGCAGGTCTCTTAATTTAACCTCTCTGCAGCGGCGGTTTTCTGAGGGATGCCAGCAACGCTGCCATACATGTCCTGAGGACAGAGTAAAAACGAATGCACATAATTACCTTTCCCAAGGAAAACAACTACTGGGTGCTTATTAAATGATAGAATAATAATTTTTAAAATAATATAAATCTTGAGGGCGAAAAAATTCTCATTTAGTAATGTAAAGATTATGAAATAGAAATTTGAAATAAATGTAGAGAATAGTGATCATCTTTACAAAATCAATAGACAGATATTTGCCAGTCTCTTGTGTTACCCAAAGGAGAAGTTTTGTCATTTTGCTGAGGATGGAGACTCTGTAGGTAGCTTTTACTGTCTCTGCCTCAGGGCAGCTGGAAGGAAACCAACATCTAGTAACTAATAATAATGTTAATAGCTAACATTTTCCAAGTGCTTGTTGTCAGTCCTCACAGCCTCTGTGTGAAATAGGTATGTACTATTTCACCGCTGTTTTATCACTTAGGAACCGAGTTGAAGTGATTTGCCCTGTAGCAGAGCCAGGGCTGGAATTTGGGTCCCCCACGAGGATGTTTGTCCCTGTGCATCAACCCCTTTCCAACTCAGATCACGTTCCCTCGTGCATCTAGTAGAAAAGGGAAATGCGCCCTGCCTGGTTTGGCTCAGCGGTTGGAGTGTCGGCCTGAGGACCAGAGAGTCCTGGGTTCGGTTCCTGCTAGGGGCACGTACCAAAAAAAAAAAAAAAAGGAAAAGGGAAATGCTGTTCTCTTGTTGAAAGGTGATTTCAGGATTCCTGGTGATATGTGCAATTTGTAGTGATGACTTTATCAAGGTCCTGATGGCTTCTGTGATGTCATGTCTAAGACCGGAGAGTGTCTTTAGTCCCCAAAGACTTCTTCAGCTACTTGGACAGATGGAAGGTGTTAAAATGCAGCAGATGACCCTGGCTCTTATTGGTCATTTATGCTTCACGATTCAATGTTTATGATTCTTTTTGAAAACAGTGCTGATAGGTGAGCAGGAGGCTCAGGGAGTGAATGACTTGTCCCAGACAACACTGCTCACTTACGTCATCCCAGCTGTCTTTAGAGCTGTCGTTTTGGTGGGCTGTGTGCAAGATTTGAGTCTGGTTTAAATGCAAATGCATTTTTGGTTCTAAAAATCTCATTTAAACAAATTTGGGGGGCATAGAGTGAGTTATAGATATAAGAAAAGCATTTTTTCCTCAGGTGAGGCTTATATTTTTCTTTTCTCTGAACAGACCAATAGCATGTGTTTTACAATGAAAACATCCTGTGTACGAAGAAGATACAGAGAATTTGTGTGGCTGAGGCAGAGACTCCAAAGTAATGCATTGCTGGTGTAAGTGACTTAAAGGGTATATCTAGGAGCCTTGATTATCATATTCAACATTTAGAACTTTGATATGTATAAGATTTACAGGTACATACCTTATGAGGCATTTTATAGGCATGCTTCTTGATTGTAATTATAGCTTTAGTTAGTTTTGTGGCTATGACATCTGAATTCAAAATTTATCATTTGAATTCCACTGACATTTATGGGTATTGACAATGAAAGTCCTCAAAAATGTTTAAAAATGGGGTTTTCTTTATTTTCATTATATAACTATATATGGTAATATACAGTCACCGTGCGATAATTAGTATGCATAATTTGATTTCACTTTGAGGGATTTCTTGACTTGATGATGATAAATTTCTTTCTTTCTTTCTTTCTCATAAGACAACTGCCAGAACTTCCCTCTAAAAACCTCTTTTTCAACATGAACAATCGCCAGCATGTGGATCAACGTCGTCAGGGTTTGGAAGATTTCCTAAAAAAGTAAGTGTGCAGAAACTCGTGCAGCCATAAAGGAGACACGAGAAAAGTGCTTTTGCAAGAGCTGAGTGTCCTGTGATCAGGGAGGGAGAACAGTACTGTTTCTGAAACCTTAATGATCTGCTCTAGAGCCCATCTCAGTCGTTCATTTCCTGTATTACAGCGCCATCTTGTGGCTCACATTGATGGTGCATATTCGAGACCAGATCTTTTAGAAAGAAAACAATGAACTAATTGAGTCAGATAATAAATACGCGGTCCCCTAAGCTGTAAAGCAGAGCCAAATTACTTGGGAGTTTAGCTGACAAAAGTAAAATTTGCCAGGAAACAGATGTGCCTTATTAAAAAGGCACTTCTTAAAAACTGTCTTTATTTACAACAGTTAGGATTGATGGACGAAAGTCAGCTTTCAATGGGCTGCTAATACCCTTCTGGGCTCCTCTAAATGAGTAGTTTAACTCTACTCTTTGGAGGGAATATTTATAAGGGAGTATTTATTGGTGTTTGATAGTCTCAGTGGGCTATTAAATCTGGATTACTTGGTGATGGGAGGTACTGTAGTTAAGGCGACTTCAGTTCACACTACTATAATTTCTCTTTTTATCCACTCTGGAATGCTGGAATTCCCATCCCATGAGATAGCACATTGGTTTGCACACAGACTCTGAGGCCAGACTGCCCAGGTTCAAATCCTGGCTCTGCTGCTTATTAGCTGGGAGCTTTGGCAAGTCTTTTACATCCTCTGTGCCTGTGTTTTTGCATCTGTCAAATGGAGTTAGTAATAGTACTTACTTTATAAGCTTGTTGAGAGGATTAAATGAGTTAACAAATGTAAGGTACTTGCAACAGTCTGGCATATAATGTATGGTATCTAAGTATTGGCCATTATTTGTTTAATGCCTTTAGAAATGGTTTTGAGCTAATTTTTCTAACTTCCTATCATAGATAAGAAAATAGGCTGAGGCATGACTACTGATTAAGGGGCAGAGCCCAGTCTCTTGGACTCTTTTCCTACTAGCTTCAGGATCTGAAGGAATCACCATTTGAATTCACGACATGATACCTCAGAGCTAGCCTGCAATACTATATACTGCCTTCTCTCCATGTAGCTCATTCATAACAGGTTTGGGCATTAAGTATGCACATGAATATTAATATTTATTTCTATTAAGTTGATAGAGTGCCTTTCCTTTGAAGGGGTCATGGAGACATACAGAAACATCCAAGATTATAAACTGAGGGAGGGCTGGAAAAGAAAAGCCAGAGGAATAAAAATGACACGAGACCGGAAGACTGAGTGACTAAGCCAAGTCCTGGGAAAACACTACAGTGGGATTCTTTTGGGTATCACAGGCTTGACAGAACAAAGACCTGGTCAATTTAGTTCTGCCTTTTCCCTTTGGGGACAGCTCTGATGTTAATTATTGTCTATCTGAGACCCAGGTGGCTGATGGCCTCTCCCTTAAGACGTGGTCCCTGCAGTCCAGGTTTGCAGAGTGGCCTGTAGGTCCAGAGGCTGCTTAGGGAAGCCGCAGACTGGCCACCGCCTGTGCAGCCTAGGCAGGGACAGCCAGGTCCTGCAGCGCCCGTCAGCACTGGGAGCTGCCTGTCTTCTGTAGAGGGGTCTCCTTATCTGAGGTCAAAGGACAACATGTGTCTCTGCATTTATATTGCTGGTTGATCACAGGGCATGTGTTTTTGACCAGGAATCACTTCATTTTTTTTTTTTTTAATCCTCACCCGAGGGCATTTTTCCATTTTTGTTCAGATAGAGTGGGAGGGGAAGAGAGGAAGAGAGAGAGACGGAGAAACATCGAGGAAAGGGACATATCGAGTGGCTGCCACCCACACGACCCAACTGGGGGCGGGGACAAACTGCAACTGAGGTACGTGCCCTTAGCGGGAACCGAACCCAGGTCTCTCTGGACCGTGGGCCGATGCTCTAACCGCTGAGCCAAACCAGCCAGGGCTTACTTCATTGTTTTGAATATGACCTTTCCTTTCACAGTTGATTCTACCAAGTTAATGCTGAGTGTCCTTCGGCTGCAGTGGACATAGGCTTACACTTGGTTATTTTTTTCATACTGTGTCCATTGGCTTGCTGACTGAATTTGACGCAGATGTCATAGTGAAAAGTGTCTTGGATCAGGAGCTCAGTGAGCTGGGCTCAAGGTTTTTAGTGATTTTTAGAGAGGGAGGAAGGGAGAAGGAGAGAGAGAAACACCAATGTGAGAGAGAATTGCCTTTCATATGCACCCCAACTGAGGATTGAACCCGAAACCAGGGCATGTGCCCTGACTGGGAATTGAACTGGCCACCCTTTGGTGCGTGGGAGGATGCTTAACCACTGAACCACACTGGCCAGGGCTTGCTCCTAATTGTTTTCTGGCTGCATGGCCATGGAAAAGTCACTTCATTCCTCTGAGCCTTGGTTTGCTATAAAGGCGCCACAATGTTACCTGGGCATTGTCGACCTCACTGGCTGGGTATGTCGTTCAAATGATGCATTGGAGGAAAAACTGTTTATTAAGTGACTACATTGGGCCATAGTGGGTACTGGGGATACTAGACCCCACAAAATGGATACAAGTTCTGGTCCTTTTGAAGCTTCCAGTCCAGTGGGGAAGCACTCTGTGTGTATCAGGGGATGGCCAGATTCATGAAAATTGGATCTGGATTATCAACCAGAAGTCGAATCATAGAACAGTCTCTGGTGATGTTATTTGTTCCACCAAGCTGTGTGGACAGCGGTCTCCGAGCTGATGGTGCTTCCGTGGGGTTTGGACCTGAGGGGAAGCGAGGAGTGTAGTCCCACATGGAGGATTCAGGCCGGACCTACAGGCCCTCAAACACTGTGGCTGCTCCTGACCGTCTGTGTTCCTCAGATTCTGAGGCATGGCTCCCCTGTTCTTTGTCTGGGTTGTGGAGAAGTGACAACCCTTCCTGGGGTCCCCCAGCTCAAGCCTGCTTTGGGAAACTGGATGCCACATGCAGCTTGGCCATCTTGGCACTGTGCCTTGTCCCCAGCTTGAGACCCATTAAGTACGGCCACCCTCAGTAGCCTGCACCTTGTTTGTGTAGAGCTCTTTAGGAACTCTAGAGGACAGGCCACAGAATTAAATATGAAATATGCTTGTGTGCTGGATTTTTAGCAGGTGTTTAACAAATCTGGTTTTCAGGTAAGTTTTGAAGTTATGAACCAAGGGCACTTAACAAACCTTCTGAAACCAAAATGCTGCTGTCTCTGGGCATATGTGCGTGTGTATATAATAATATAACAAGATTTTTTTTCTTTTCTTTTTTTCATTTTAAGGTCATTTGTGAAATAATATATATTTAATAGCAAAGTACATACCCAGGCCAGAGTTCATGGGAATTAGAAAGTTGTTTCTTTCACTAGGTGCCAAAAAAATAATTTATGCCACTTATTGAACACTTGCTATATATAAAGCTTTCTACACGTTTTATCTCAATACCTACAATAATATTAGGAATTGGATATCATCTCAATTTTATAGACAAGGAAATTACAGGAAAAGGTGGAGGCACTGTTTTAGTCCCAGGAACTGGTGAGCTTACAGTTAGCAGAACTCTTGAATGCTAGTTAAATTCGGGCAGTGTGATTGTGACATTTTTCAAATATGTTCATTTTTCCTCAGTCTTGGCTATAACTTCCCTTTTGGAGTTTTTCTCTCCTGAATAATTAGAAATTGTAAGTCACTTCTGCTAGTAGCAATTTTAGTTATAGACTAAAATTGTAAACTCTGTTGGTAAGAAGATCCAACTGTGAGAATGGCCTGTCTACTAATTTTTTATGTTTGATGAGTATCATGAATGGGAGGGAGCAGTTCTGCTGAATTCATCCCGGTAACATAACTACACGTATCTTACAATGTAGGCTTTTGTATTACGGTTTTGTATTTCTTTCTTTTTTTTTTCCTTAGTGGAGGACATTTTTCGATATTTTTTGTTCAGATAGAGTGGGAGGGGTAGAGAGTGAGAGAGAAACATCAACGTGAAAGGGACACATCGAGTGGTTGCCACCCACACGACCCAACCAGGGCCGGGGACAAACTGCAACCGAGGTATGTGCCCTTAGCGGGAACCGAACCCAGGTCTCTCCAGACTGCAGGCCGACGCTCTAACCACTGAGCCAAACTGGCCAGGGTCGGTTTTGTATTTCCTTAAAATTTAAGAAATAGCATAGTTTTATTACAAAAGGATATCATGGAAACACTAGTTAGTTGTACACACACACACACACACACACACACACAGAGTTTTTATGTCCGTGTGTACAATAGAGGGCACCACAGCACAGTTCATGAATGCCTTCAATGAAGATTTGTAGGTTTTATTTTTTCTCATAATAAGAGGTAAACAGGCTGAATTAGTTTTTTCTACATCAAACTGCTAACCTTCCACATGCGATGCAAATGTGTATGTATGTCATTTTATCGGGTACAGTAGACCCAGGGTGTCCTGAGGTAGGATGAAATGTTTTTGCATAGCTATACATTGTTCTCAACTGAACCACTATATAATACACCTAATAAAATCATGTTGAGGAAAACCAGATTTTCGACTGTATCCAATTCAAGGGAAAAACAGGTTTTGCTTTGTTTAGTTTAAAGTTGTTATGGGGAAAGGAATAACTTTTGACTCATGTAAATAGCTTTTCACAAATTCCTTTAAAATTCTAGAGGCTATTTTTTCCTTTTATAAAGGCTTGAAAATTGTATACATTTATTTTTATGGAGGCTTATAACGATGACATTTTATTGACTGTTTTACAAAGTACTCTTTATATTAAATTTGAAGTTGATTTACTGCTATTAGATTTGTTTGTGGAAAATGCGGCACAAATATGACTAAGGTGAAAATAAGATTTAATATTATGGGGATGGCAGTCACAATACTCGCTGATATATATTAAACCAGATATGATATTAAATGAACTAGGTATGCTCACTGAACCAGGTGGGAAAACACTCTCAAATTGTTGTATTTTTAATTTTGGAATGAAATACCTGACTAAAAATAAAAGTCATAAATACATTAGAAATTATTTTTGCTTGTTTAAAACTTGTGGCACACAGAGGCATACACCTAGCCAGCTGGGCCGAGGGAATTAAAACCCAGAACTGTGCATAGCAGACGCAGTTTTTGGACTCCCTGCTGGTGTGAGTGGTCAGAGGTTCCCTCCCAGCCAAGGTTTCTCCCACTTCAGACCTGGGAGCCGGGCCTGGGAGTTCAGTGTGCCCGGCTCCCTCTCGCTTTTCCCCCGTGTGTCCTCCAGATGGCAGTAGTAAGCAGAAAAGAAAACACTGGGAAATAATGAGTCTAATGTACAGTAAAATTGGAAATTGAATTATAGCTCAAGAAAAAAGACAGTAGCCTTGAGGTCCCGATCAACCTGGGCTCTGATCACTTTTGTTTGCTGTACCCATGTGTTAGGTTACTAGCAAGTTAATAACAGCACGTGAGCAGTTCAAGGCTCAGTAGAATTGCTTTAGACGTGAAATAAAGCTAAAATGAATTTGTGTCCGATATCATTGGCATTAGTGCTCATTACTTTTGTGGTGTAATGCCTTGAACCATCTAAAATCAATTTTAAAGATTACCCATTATTTTATAAAGAAAATAAAACACATTTCCACCAGAAACAAAGCAGTAAGTATAATCCTATGAACAGTTACTTGTACCTTGGCTGGCAGGAAACACTCTGTTCAAACTTCACAGTGAATGCAAGTTAATATTAATGGGTCACTGCCCTATAAATCTCCTCTGGATGTGAAGTATTTAAAACAAGAGTGGTAAACATCTGTAAACGTAGAATATCTTGAAGAGTAGTAAGAGGAATTTGCCACTTTACTACTTGCATTTGGTCAATTCATCTTTATCATGGAATAGGGTCATGTTCTGGGAGAATCCAGGGCAGACGCCAGGGAGGGAGAGGAAATATTTAGCTGCTTTGCTCGAGATTTTGCCTTTTGAAAGGTGCACCGATTTTACTTTTTCTTTCTGCGGGCCAGCAAAGAATATTTTCTTAAACTACATTTGTAAGCCTATTGCAGCCAAGGGGACAGCTAGACTTTGGTGTGGATGCTGTGCTTTTCTGGACGTTTGCTTTGTTGCAAAAATAATTGTTTCATTTTGAAGAAAATAGTCTAATAACCTTGGATTTTAAGTAAATTAAATATGAATAACCAAAAGAGATTGTACTTTTCCAGTTAGTTATTTAAAAATGCAGAGTATAAGGTAAAGTTCATTCAGTTTTAAATACATAATTTTTTCATAGTTCTCTGTCTGAAAAATCCCATGTTGGGCAAAATTATACTTGGGTTTTAGTATTTTAGTTTTATTTCCTACAGCTGATCTTAGTGTGACATCATCATATCATTATTGAACTGTTCATAGAGACAAAATGATTACACATAAAAATCTTTGCTAAAAAGATTAAAAACAATTTTTATTTAAATATAAGGGTGTATTTTGTCAGAAGAAAACACATTCACTATAAAAAAATTTGAGCATGTGTAGTAGATTTTGTGACAGGGTGGTTTTTACTCCTCTCTGTAGTTCTGAAGCACTAGTTGAAATCTGTACTCTCTTTGTGCCACTGAAGATTTTGGAGAAGTTTCTAGTCAATCTTAGGTATTCAAAAAAAGCCACCTCTCAGCCAAGCCCTTGTAAACTTGTACAGAAGCACAGCTATAAAGTTTTTTTTCCCAATAAAGAGATGACTTTTTAATAGAACTTTTAATAGTAGTTGAAAGTTTTGATGTTTCTTCACAGCCTAGCCCATAAAGATCACAGAACTGACATGCTGGTCAGCAGTAAATTTTTTTTTTTTTTTAAAGTAGAATACATTTCTATGACTACATAAGCAAAATATTCCCATAATTAATCCACATGGCCATAACAGATGGTTAAATTGAAGAAATGTCCTTGAAGTTATTCTTTTAACAGATGTTCTTGACTATTAGCTTCATGTTTTTACTCACCTAAATTCCCAAATAATTGAATAAAAGTTAACATATGCTTTCATCCCTTTAATAGGCAGAGTCCGTAATGGATGCAAAGTTTGCCATAGTGGAGAATGATTTCGGTGGCACGTTTTAATGCTTCTCTCTCCTGCCCTGTAGCTGTGCATCCCCGTTCACCGGCTACTTCTCCTGTGTGCTCTCATATAGGGTCCTCCACAACGCGCTTCTGCTCTCAGACAGCAGCCTGCACCTCTTCCTGCAAAGCCATCTGAACTCGGAAGACATCGAGGCGTGCGTTTCTGGACAGACTAAGTACTCTGTAGAGGAAGCAATTCACAAGTTTGCCTTGATGAACAGGCGCTTCCCTGAAGAAGATGAAGAAGGAGAAAAAGAAAACAATATAGATTATGGTTCAGAAAGGTATTTCCTTGCATTCCATGTAATATATAAGTATTTATATAACACACAGCACATATATGCATGTGTACGGCTATCTACACACACTTCACTTTTTTGTTGATGCAATCCTAAGATAATGAAAAAATTAATTGACTGAGATTTTATTGAGTTGTGACAGCTCATCATAGTAGTCTTCACACACACCTCCACACCGAATTAATGAATGCAGTAGAAATTCAATTATCTGCATTCTGATTATGTGACTTTCATTTAGTCAGACTTGAATTATTCGCGTTTAAATTATCTAGCTAAAAAAATATCCAACTGCACTCCAAATGGCTAATTAAAAGTCCAAATTTCCTGTCTTTCTTTGTGACTGGAGATAATTAAAGTTCTCCTCTGTTACTCAGGCTTTGAGTGTGTTGTGAAAACCAATTTCCTCTTTTTATTATTTTCCCCCTCTCTTCTTTTCCAGTTCATCCTCCGGGTTTGGACACAGTAGTGATGACAGCAGTTCACATGGGTGTAAAATGAGCACAGCTCCACAGGAATCCTGAAAAAGAATTCTAATGTGACCATCTTAGGAACAGCAAATTCTGTCCAGTCATAGAGAAGAAAGCTCACTAATGATATATTCTTACCTAAAGCTCACTGTCATGCTATTAGGTATTTAAATTCTTCAAGACGTTGGGTTGTTTCTAAGTGCTGTTTTTATGTTGTCTTATTTTGGCTAAGCTTCCGTCAAAAGCTAAAAGCCTGTGATTGCAACTCTCCTTTATAGGCAAACATCACTGGTAAAACAGGATCGTGCCCTCAAATGAATTGGTTTATGTGTTTTAAAAAACCTAGTTGGTTTTATTGAATTTGAAAAGATAGGTAAATGGGTAGCATTTAAAATCCAGAGAGAGGATTCCTTCTTGTATCAATGGGGCAGTGTTATCGTACACACAGCATGCGTGAGCTTAACCACTGTGAAGACTGACAGCTTCGACCAGACGGCCTCGTTCAGACATGTGGCTGATATTTTGTGGGTACCTCCCCTGCACTGGGAAAACACTTAGCTTTTGGGTGTTTGATTGAAATAGTTTAAGGGTGTTTAACCTTTCCAGTGTTCTGTTTCACACTTAAATGGGAAAGGTATCTTATGAATACAGACATGTTAAAATAATGTTTACATCTTAGACAAAACAGAAATAATGCTAGTAACTTCGCTTATATTTGTAATATATAGATTCAGAAATACAGTTTCATTGTCCAAAATCAGCTTTAACACACGGTTTCTAGAAACAGATAATTTGTGTAATTAGAATTACAGGTTAATGATTTATTTCCTGACTAAATGTGCAATTTCTTACCACTAGATAAATTTGTCAGTGGTGTTTACTTGTTACTTATCTTTAAGTTAGAAGTAGGATCTTATAAAAATTAATAAACTTGATTTTACCAATAAGTAGCCCCATGATTAGAAAAGGATATTAACTTGTTAATTTCAGACTTAATTATTCATTTCTAAAAAGCCCTTTATTTTTAGGTATCTACCAGAGAATTGGTATGATTTAATATAATTTAACAAAATCTTTTTTTTTTCATGGTCCAAAGAGAAAATGTCTTAAACTACATTGAACTTCAAATTTCAGATATGGCAGCATTTTCTTGAGCTAATTATCCAAGTTACTTCCCTGTTGAATGGTGCAAAATATCTCTGAAACTAACAGGAACATACTTTTACATAACTGGGATAACTTGTTGCTTTAATTAAATGTTACCTCACCTCATTTTAACTAGGAGTTTAAAAGTTACTGTATTATTAAAAAGTCTTTGAAATGCTTGTAACTAAGAAGCAATAGAAAATAATTAAATTTAAAATAAGAATGATTTCCATAATTTCTCCTTTCTATTTTTTTGTTTGGTCTAAAACATTATTGAACTTATGTAAATAATTCTGATTTAATGTACTGAATCTTGTTACTTTATAATTTAAGACTCATTATTTTAATACAGAAAAATGAGGTTTAGTAGTTTCTTTTTATCCTGCCTACAAGTAATGTTTACCATCCTGTCATTTAAGAGCGATCCCCAGCTCCTTGGTGATATGTATTTGAATTCACATTATTTCTGTTTTTCAGCAGTTTGGAAAAGCATGTAATATATGCCACCAAGTGTCATATTATTTTTAGATGATGTAAACAGCCATCAACTTAAAATGGATATTAAGTAATGCCTAATACTGTGGTATGTAAACTTCATGAGATCACCATTTTCACATTAAACATGAAAAAAAATCAACTTCAGTTTGTTGGATCACTTATTTTATATAAGAATGCATTTCTTCTGACTTAGACCTAAATTCAGTGTGTTTTTGAATGATTGGTAACTTTTAATGAATAAGTTGGGTAAATTTGCTTGAATATTCACTCTGGTTGTACACGTTTGAGCTTTGGTTTGGTTGGTTTGATATGTAAGCACTGTTAAAGCTGATACTCAGCAGCGGAGATATTTAGATGAACTTCAGCCCCCAGTGGCTTTCTGGCTTTGTTCAAGTCTTTTACTTTTCTCTGGCATATTTTTTATAAAGCTTTCTTTAGGAAAATATTACTTAAGTAACTAAATAGAATAGATGTTTATTTAAAACTATTTTTAATGTAACTTAAATTTAAAGAATTCTAATCCTGGATGCTTTATGATTTATGTACACCAAAACTGTATTTCCCTGGCTAATTCTGAAAGTGTAAACTGTTCACCTATAAAGCTGATTTATGTGTTTTGTTTGAGAACTGGTTTTATATATAACCCAAAGAGGTCAGCAATGGAAGTCAACAACCTGTTACTTAGGGCTCCTTTTAAAGTCTCACTTGGAAGAAAGTGATTTAAATTCTAGTTCAAATTTCAAGTTTTAAAAATTACTGAGGAAAAACAGAAATGTTTATTTTTAAGTAGTTACATCCCTTAAGATATTAAATATCATGTAGGAGCTTTTCAAGCCTAGTTCACATTTTATTGAATAATTAAATACAAACAAGTGATATGCAATAACCTTAAAATCTCTTTTATGGCCATTAAGAATTTAAACAAATTCATTTAGCCTAGCCACAATTACCGTTATATCCAACAGTAAATTGAATGTTGTTTTGAACTCAATTTATGTTTTATTTTTGGTGCCTTAAGGATTAATCATTATTGAGCTACTGCGGTACAAGTAAGGTTTTCAGTATTTCAGCTATAAAGGAACAACCGCTTTCATAAAAGGCCTCTAAAATCTTAAGACAAAAATAGCCGAACAATAGCTTGTTCTGTTTCTAAATAGTTTTCCTCTCAATATTTAAATTATTTGGTATCCTATAAATAAAATGCAGCATCTTTTTTAATGGAGGAAACAATTTCAATACAATTTTCTGCTTTTGTTTGGAATGCAGACCTTTTGTTACTTTATTATATATAAACACATTTTCACAGACAAAATGCTTTCTGAAATTAGTTACTGCAATTTGACATTCAAGCATAGACACAATTTTCTTTACAAATAAAGGTCATAAGAAATTAATACATTTTAATAGAGTGGAGTCCAAAATTTTAGAAGGATGTAAATAAGCAACAATTTCTTTACAGTTTGAAATATTTACAAAGGATTTTGGCTCTATTCTTTGCCATATGCATCTCACAAAACGAGTCACCATTGTCCCTTTAAGTCAGACACAATTGCTCTTCGCTCTTGCTGGAAACTTTTCTAGATCCTTGTTATGAACAGTGCATTGGACACATTTATTTTAGCTTCGAAAACTCTGGTAGTTAATGACCCTTTTCCTTTTCTCCCAAATTCCAAAGACTTCTTTTCAAAAGATACAGAGGAAAAGAGAAAAAAATTAAACTACAATTTTCTGCAGAATTTAAATTCTGGTCTAAAGATACTATGCAAATGACTTATGCTAAAGAGGAAAATACCCTTTCTCCCCCGACGAGAAGTGTAGATTCATCCAAAACCCCACACCGCTTGTCTTTGCTGCTACAGGCACAGCACGGGCATAACTTGTGGTTGTGTTTTTGCTAGTTTCTTACCTCTGGGCCTTCTTTATAGCTTTGCCCCCCACCCCACTGGCGGCGGCGCTCCTGGGGCTGCCCCCTCCGCCGCCTGTTGGCTGCGGCCTCCGCCGCTCGTGCACACTCCCCAAGTCGTGTCCCGCACACGCGCGCGCTCCCGCCTCCTCCCACCCGGGCCGCTCCGGCTGCGGGCGGTGTGGAGGCAGCGACTGGGTGGCAGGTAGCAAGCCAGTCGGCCTCAGTCCGGTAACCCATGGCAACCGCCCTGGTAACCCATAGCAACAGCGCCGCAGAAAGAAAGGAAGGAAAAAAACAAAACAAAAAAAAAACCCGGGTGGAGGGGGAAGGCGGGTGGTGAGTGGGAACAACAACCGCAAAAAGGCAGCGATTTACAGCACAGCCTGCAGCGCCCTCCCGCCTGCCCCACCTGCTTCGAACGTGCGCCCGCGAGGTCCCCTTCCCAGCGATAAGCTGACAATTCTGGCTGCTTGAACAGTCATAACAAAAATAATACAGAGGATCTAGGGTGGCGAGTTGGTGTGGGAGGGAGTTTGTACACCGACGACCCTCCGGGATGCCGGAGCGTCGTTTCCAGGGCCCTGGCTGGTTTGTCTCGCCCGGAGCCGCGACACCGGACCCCGCCGCCGGGTGGGTTTCCCGGACACGCGGTCAGGGTGGGCCGCAGGAGACCCGGCGGCGGTGGCCTTTTCCCTCTGGGGCTGGACCCGAGTCTTTGTTCTGAAGATGCCGGCTGCGGCCCTCGGCCCGCTGTCCCACCCGAGGGGGGGCGACGAGCCGCCCCGGGCCTGGGTCTGGTGAAGGCTGCAGGGTCCCCGCGAGTGCCCGGGGTCGCGGAGGGCTGGGCGAATCTCACGCGTCCCACATGTTTTATATGCGCACGTACCGCACACGCTCGTTAACCCCATTCCCCTCCCAGGACCCTAAAACCTGCAGGGCTGACCTGCCGTTGCTTTAACCCGCTCCCTCCCTCCCGGAGAGCGGTGGCACCGTCATCCTGGAGGGAAGAAGCGCGTGCCTCCCGGTCTAGAACCAGCCCTGGGGCAGGGTCAGGGGTGTGTGTGTGTGTGTGTGTGTGTGTGTGTGTGTGTGTAGGGTGGGGGCATGGGGGGCATGCGGGGAGAGACCAGTCCCCCACCCCATTAAGCCAGGGGCCCAGAGAGGAGCTTTTTTTGCCCTGGAAAATAGAAACGCCCTGGTCAGGGTCAGGGTGTGTGTGTGTGTGTGTGTGTGTGTGTGTGTGTGTGTGTGTGTGTGTGTGTGTGTGTGTGTGTGTAGCGTGGCAGGGTCAGGGGTGTGTGTGTGCAGCGTGGGGTCTTGCGGGGAGTGACCAGCCTCCCACCCCATTAGCCGGCGGCGGCGCAGAGGAGCTTTCTTTGGTCTGGAAAGCAGTAGCGCGAGGCCGGTGGCAGAGGGTGCAAGGCAGCCGAAGGACAGAGGAGGGCGCTGCCGGGCCGGCGCGGCGGAGAATGAGCCGCCTGGGGTCTGGCTCGTGTCTGTGGTGCAGTGTGTAGGCTCCCAAGCAGAAAGGACCTATGCCCCTTAGATTTCAGTCTGTGCTTCGAAGCATCACCTGCTAGCTCGTGTATTCGCGGAAGCCCCAGCCGGCAATGAGAGGATGAAGGAAACACACCGGAACTGGTTCCATTCCATGCAGAGCACCTAAGTACGCAAAAAGGCCCCTCCACGAGGAAATGTATCGAGGGGAGGCGAGACTGTGCTAGAATCCGGGAGTCTACACCTATAGGTCCAGAGTAGCTTTCACTAGCTGTGATTCCAAGCGCATTGTGATGTTTTAAAAAGGAAAATGTTTGGCCTGGGTGATTTTTGAAATCCTCTGAGATCTTAATCCTCTAGTATTCTCCCTCTGTAGGTGGGTACCAGTTACAAATCCAGATAGCAAAACCATCAGCAACATCCTTTTTGAAGGCAAAGGCCTACACAAGTGTAACACACACACATAATATATGTTCCTGAAAAACGTGATTAGAACAACAGTGTCTTATATATCTAACGCCTTTGCTGGTAAACAAAAGGGAAGCTAGCTATGGAAAGAATCCCATTTTAATCTTCATAATGAAAATAATCTTCTGAATATATATATTTTTGCTGCTAAGGGAAACTTGGCTAATTTTCACAAACATGCACATTCTGGGCTCTGCTGCTTCCCGGGCGCCAGGGACAGAGGGGAGGGTGCAAACTGTTAGAGGTAAGAGATAGGACTCCAGTGCTGGGATCCATTTAGTTCAATTCCAACCCTTTGTATAGTGGTGTACTGGGAGCCCTGTGCTGTAATTTAATTTTTTTTTTTTTTAACAAAAGCAATTACAGAAAAGTGCAAATTTAACGTGTGACATTTAACATTTTGCCGTGGCAGTCAGCCTCCACTTAAATGGGGCCTTTCTGCAGAACAACAGGAGCCAAAAGGCCTTGTGTCGTGGAGTAATGTAAGACACAATCTGGGCTGCAAACGCACAATGAATCGGGAAGGATTTATGTAATTAATTGACCAGTCTTAACCTGTTATCGTGATGTAAGGAATTTGGAACTCATTAATTTGGGCTCTGACAGATTTCATATTAGAGCTGGCAAATATGGATTGAGCCTCTTATTCTTGTCGCAGCTGGAATTTCCATGACAGTGAGGATTAGTGAAGAAGACCTATTGCTGGAGTCAAACTGCCTCTTTGTAATCAGTAGCCCTGCTCTGCATTAAAGGCATAATGAAAAAAAGAAAAGGGGGAAAAAAAAAAAAGAAAAAAGCATATTACCTGGATGAAGGAGCGGAAGGGGCTTCATTCTGCTATGTGTGTATTGAGCTCAAGCATTTGCAGTTGAATGAAAACGTTAATTTCAGTCATAAAGTGAGGTGGTTTCTCAAATTGAGAGAATGAGAAGGTAAGGGTCTCAGGGTTAGGTTTGGTATTGTCGGCAAAGTTAAAAGGGATTAAAAGACGGATACTCTGAATTTCCTCTTTGTGAACACAAAGGTTGTATGAAGAAGGAAATAGAAGTCTTATGAGGGGCAAATGGCATTTCTTTTGTAATGTCATAGCTACAAGTGGGCAGTTCGGAGTCTTGAAGGAAAGACTGGCTTTCTCAGGAGCACATACTGTGTCTCCTGGTCAGAGCTCCTCTGTGGACCCCACAAATTCCAGAAGTCACCTAATGAGCATTTCATCAGTAATCTAATAATCGGTGTCCTTTTTGCAGTATTTGAGGTTCAATGAATCA